GAATGGGGTTGGACTGGATGATGGCCCAGGAGGTCTCTTCCAACTCTTTGATTCTATGATTCTATGATTCTTCTGCAGGCTAAACATGCCCAGCTCTTTAAGACACTCCTCAGAGGGATTATTCGTGGTCTCCAGACCTTATAGTCATCATCTTCCTCTGAACACCATCCAGCTTGGAGTCAATATCTGTTTTGATATTGTGGGGCCCAGAACTGGACACCGTATTCCACCTGCTGGGAAGTCTTGAATGGTTTCTTCCTCGATGGAACAAAAAAGGGATGGCACTGTGGGGGGATCTCTGACGATTCTATGCTTCTCTGAAACTGAGCCGCCTCTTCTCCTTGTGCTCCTTTAGATCCGAATGTCATGTCCGACGTTCTGCAGGAGGCCAAGGTGGAGATCATTCCGCGAGAGCTGTGCACGACCTGGGAGTGGTGGTTCACGCGCATCCACCCGGAGAACATGTGCGCCGGGAAGATCGAAGGAGGGGTCTCCCCTTGCAAGGTCAGGGGGCAAAGCGGAAGGCCAATCACACATTTTGTTCATTTTAGTAATTGTATGGAGTGAAAGTAATGGATACGAAATATAAAAAGGAGAAACATCTATAGATACTAGTCAAAGGCATCTCAGACAGGGTTGTTGTAGGATTTTTCGGGCTATATGGCCATGGTCTAGAGCCGTGATGGTGAACCTATGACATGCGTGTCAGCACTGACACGCATGGCTATTTTTGATGACACGCGACCACATACAGAGAAGTACACCTTATAAGAACCAATCTAATTCCATCCTTAAATTTGTAAAAGGTTCTACAAATTTAACACCTGCATGTTTGAGCATTGTTCACTCCATAACTCAGCATGGAATATACATTTTTCTTATTTAAACTATAAATATTGCAACATTATGGGTTTTTTTTCTCGAAGTTGACACCCCACCCAAGTTATGCCCAGATTTTTGGCAAATTTTGACACACCAAGCTCAAAAGGTTGCCCATCACTGGTCTAGAGGCATTCTCTCCTGACGTTTTGCCTGCATCTATGGCAAGCATCCTCAGAGGTAGTGAGGTCTGTTCACGGGTGGGGGGCAGAAGAGGAAAGATTGGATAGAATATTTGTAATGTGTCTATTTGAGAGAACACCATAGCTGACTTAGATGCATTGTCGAAGGCTTTCATGGCCGGAATCACTGGGTTGTTGTAGGTTTTTTCGGGCTATATGGCCATGTTCTAGAGGCATTCTCTCCTGACGTTTCGCCTGCATCTATGGCAAGCATCCTCAGAGGAATGAGGTCTGTTGGAACTCGGAAAATGGGTTTATATATCTGTGGAATGACCAGGGTGGCACAAAGGACTCTTGTCTGCTGGAGCTAGGTGGGAATGTTTCAACTGACCACCTTGATTAGCATTAGATGGCCTAACAGTGCCTGGGGGAATCTTTTGTTGAGAGGTGATTAGATGTCCCTGATGGTTTTCTCTCTGTTGTTGTGCTGTTGTAATTTTAGAGTTTTTTAATACTGGTCGCCAGATTTTGTTCATTTTCATGGTTTCCTCCTTTCTGTTGAAATTGTCCACATGCTTCTTGTGGATTTCAATGGCTTCTCTGTGTAGTCTGACATGGTGGTTGTGAGAGTGGTCCAGCATTTCTGTGTTCTCCAATAATATTGCCCCGGAGTGTGGTGGAGGCTCCTTCTTTGGAAGCTTTGAAACAGAGGCTGGATGGCCATCTGTCAGGGGTGCTTTGAATGCAATATTCCTGCTTATTGGCAGAATGGGGTTGGACTGGATGGCCCAGGAGGTCTCTATGATTCTATGATTCTATATGCTGTGTCCAGGTTGGTTCATCAGGTGCTCTGCTATAGCTGATTTCTCTGGTTGAAGTAAAATTACAACAGCACAACAACAGAGAGGAAACAAACAAGGACATCTAATCACTTCTCAACAAAAGTTTGCTCCAGGCACTGTCAGGCCATTGTATGCTAATCAAGGTGGTCAGTTGAAACATTCACACCTAGCTCCAGCAGACAAGAGCCCTTTGCCCCACCCTGGTCATTCCACAGATATATAAACCCATTTTCCTAGTTCCAACAGACCTCATTCCTCTGAGGATGCTTGCCATAGATGCAGGTGAAACGTCAGGAGAGAATGCCTCTAGAACATGGCCATATAGCCCGAAAAAACCTACAACAACCCAGTGATTCCGGCCATGAAAGCCTTCGACAATCCATCTAAGTCAGCTATGGTGTTCTCTCAAATAGACACATTACAAATATTCTATCCAATCTTTCCTCTTCTGCCCCCCACCCATGAACCCACTACTCACTGTGAGTTCCATGTCTAATAAAATCTACCTTTGCCACTTCATCACAAGCATTAAATCCTACTGAGCCACCCACTTAAGAAATGGCAACCTACTGTGTTCATCCCACAACGTAGGTTTCACGTGTAGGGTAGAGATACCTTGGCGTTTACAAAGGGTTGCAAAGGGTTATCTTTTCAGTTGTTTTCTAAGCTGGTTGGCAAGTGACTTTTTTGCAAAATATCCAGGTAGAGAGGGGCAAAACGGCCAGTTCTGTCCTGGGAGTTGCAGTTTGGTGGGGTACCAGCCCTGTTTGGCAGAGAAGGCTCAAGGCGTTGTGCAACTGCCATGGTTTTGAAGGGGCTAGAGCTAGGGAAAACAGAAAATGATCAGCCAAAATCAAATTCAGACACAGTCTGGCCTGTGCTGTGAAGCAGAAGGGAATGAGTGGTAACCACAAGGAGGGGAGGGTTCAAGCCTAGAGAACAGTTCAAGCTAATATCACTCAGGTGCCAGAAGAAGAACAACTGCTAAGACAACACTGATAAAGAAAGGGGCCAGAAAAAAAAATACCAACAAAGGGGAAAGAGAAATGTCTTGTGGGGTTCCTCAGGGCTCAATATTGTCTCCCATGTTGTTTAACATTTACATGAAGCCGCTGGGGGAGATCATCTGGAGTTTCGGGGTACGGTGTCATCTGTACGCGGATGATGTCCAACTCTGTCACTCCTTCCCACCTGCTACTAAGGAGGCTGTCCAGGTCCTGAACCGGTGCTTGGCCGCTGTGACGGTCTGGATGAGGGCGAACAAATTGAAATTGAATCCAGACAAGACAGAGGTCCTCCTGGTCAGTTGCAAGGCCGAACAGGGCATAGGGTTACAGCCTGTGTTGGATGGGGCCGCACTCCCCCTGAAGACGCAGGTTCGCAGCTTGGGTGTGACCCTGGACTCATCGCTGAGCCTGGAACCCCAGGTCTTGGCGTCGACCAGGGGAGCATTTGCACAGCTAAAGCTTGTGCGTCAGCTGCGCCCGTACCTTGGGAAGTCTGACTTGGCCACGGTAGTCCACGCTCTGGTTACATCCCGTTTAGACTACTGCAACGCTCTCTACGTGGGGTTGCCTTTGAAGACAGCTCGGAAGCTCCAACTAGTCCAACGCTCGGCAGCCATGATTTTAACAGGAGCGGAGCGCAGGGAGCATACAACCCCCCTGTTGCGCCAACTCCACTGGCTACCGATTTGCTACCGGGCTGAATTCAAAGTGCTGGCGTTGGCCTTTAAAGCCCTAAACGGTTCCGGCCCAAGCTACCTATCCGACCGCATCTCTGCCTATGAACCCACCAGGACTTTGAGATCTCCTGGGAGGCCCTGCTCTCGATCCCGCCTGCTTCTCAAGCTCGGCTGGCGGGGACGAGAGATAGGGCCTTCTCGGTGGTGGCTCCTCGGCTGTGGAACGCCCTTCCTACGGACATTAGACTAGCACCATCTCTAATGGTATTCCGCAAAAAGGTGAAGACCTGGCTGTTTGAGCAGGCGTTTGAATAATTAGTGCAATGATTGGTTAATGAACACTGGAATGGAACAATGGATGACGAATCTGGAACATGTTTTTGATGATGAGACGACAGTGAATGGGTATTGTAGTAACTGTTTATTAATTGTGTAATGTGTTAGGTTGTTAACTGTTTCTATACTGTAGCACTGAATTTTTGCTGTTCGTATTTGTTGTGAACCGCTGTGAGTCGCCTTCGGGCTGAGAACAGCGGTATATAAGGAAGGTAAATAAATAAATATGCGTATATTAAAAAATATGTCAATAAGAATAAAAGAGAATTATTACAAAATGGTGTGGAGATGGTACCTCACACCAATTAGATTAAACCAAATTGACAAGAAACATTCTAAGCAGTGCTGGAGGGGCTGTCAAGAAACTGGCACATATATACACATGTGGTGGTCTTGCAAATATGTTCAAAAATTTTGGGAAAATGTATTTCAAGAAATAAGAAGAATCACCCAAATAGAGATAACAGGAACACCGGAGATAGCACTGCTGTCATTTATTGATAATGTTAAAATAGCAAAAGAACTAAAAGAATTAATTGCCAATTTGGTAACAGCAGCAAGATTGTTAATAGCTAAAAAATGGAAAGAAGGAGGGGAGTGCCAATTGGAAGAGTGGTATAGGGAGATCTGGGACATCGCAATAAACAATAAACTGACAGGAAACATTAAGGTTAAAAGAGGATTATCAAAAAAAGATGATTTTGGGAAGATTTGGGGGAAATTGATAGAATATGTATATATAGAAGGTAAGGGGACCAAACCTGTAATAGAAACAACTGATTTTTGGAAATAAGTATTGTAATTGGCTGGTCGGGGGTGAAGGGTTAGCACTGGATGATTGGATGTAATGAAGCAGGAGAATGGAGATGAGCACCAACCCCCAGAATCAGACATGACTGGACTTAATGACGGGAAATATTTACCGTTACCTAGGATTATGTTGAGAGGGTCGATGAAGATACTGAATCCCATTCATGCCATTATTATTATTATTATTTATATCCCACTTTTTCTCTCCATAAGGAGACTCAAAAGCGGCTAACATTCAAAGCATGGCAATAGAATTTAAAATATATAAATATTAAAGCACCCTTGACGGATTTTTACGTTCAGGTGGGTTCTGGGGGATATTTGCTTGATGTGTTCCTACCTGCTTTGCTACCCAGGTACCCGCAGTGCCTGCACATGCTGGAGCTGCTGCAGTACGAACACTTCCGCAAGGAGCTGGTCAATGCACAGTGCGCCAAGTTCATTGACGAGCAGCAGATCCTGCACTGGCAGCACTACTCCCGCAAGCGGGTGCGCCTCCAGCAGGCCTTGGCCGAGCAGCCCCTGCCCCAGCAGCAACACCAGCAGCAGCAGCAGAACCCTCAGCAGCAGCACCAGCCGGCCCCGCAGCCCCAGCCCCAGCAGAACAGCAGCTCCCTCAAGTGAGAAGGAGAAGATGGCGGATGGACTAGATTCCGCTGTCTGCCACAATTTTTGGAATAGTAGAGTCTCTTATATGACAATATTTAAGCTGATGTCACTCCAAAAGTTGTAAATGAATGACAAGCAGCGAAAACATCCTGATTTCATTAGTTCTTGGACAGATGTTGACTTTGGGTTGCTGTGAGTGTTCTGGGCTGTCTGGCCATGTTCCAGAAGCATTCTCTCCTGACGTTTCACCTACATCTATGGCAGGCATCCTCACAAGTTGTGAGGTCTGTTTAGGCAAGTGGGGTTTATATATCTGTGGATGACTGTCCAGGGTGAGAGAAAGAACTCTGTTGAAGGCAAATGGGAAAGTTGACATTGGCCAACTTGATTAATAATAATACTAATAATCTTTATTTATACCCCGCCACCATTTCCCCGATGGGGACTCGGAGCAGCTTACGTGAGGCCAAGCCCAAACTGCAAATTACAATAAAGAGAAACCGAAAATGCAAACAATAAACAACAACAGCATAATTATTAGCATTTAATTATTTAATTATTATTCAATTATTATTATTATTTAATAAATATTACTATTTAATTATTAGCATCATAATTATTAGCATTTAATGGCCTTGTAGCTTCAAAGCCTGGCTGTTTCCTGCTTGCGAGAATTCTTTACTGGGAGGTGTTAGCTGGCCCTGATTGTTTCCTGTCTGCAATCCCCTGTTTTTTTAGTGTTGTTCTTTATTTACTGTCCTGATTTTAGAGTTATTTTTAAATACTTGTAGCCAGAGTGTGTTCCTTTTCATGGTTTCCTCCTTTCTGTTGAAATTGTCCATGTGCTTCTTGTGGATTTCAGTGCTTCTCTGTGTTGTCTAACATGGTGGATGTGAGACTGGTCCAGCATTTCTGTGTTCTCCAATCATAAGTTGTGCCCAGGTTGGTTTATCGGGTGCTCTGCTATGTCTCACTTTTCAGGTTGAATTAGTCTGCAGTGCCTTTCATCTTCCCTGTGTTTGGGTACAGCAGCCAGCCAGGATTTGAAGCTGCAAGGGCATTAAATGCCAATCAAGGTGGCCAATTGCAATATTCACACTTGCCTGAAGCAGACAAAAATTCTTTCTCCAATCCTGGGCATTCCACAGATATATAAACCCAATTTTCCTAGTTTCCAACAGACCTCACAACTTCAGAGGATACCTGCCATAGATGCAGGTGAAACGCTAGGAGAGAATGCTTCTGGACCATGGCCAGACAGCCTGGAAAACTCACAGCAGCCTAGCGATCCCAACCATGAAAGCCTTCGACAACACAGATGTTGTCTTTCCTTCCTTAAGTGGTAATTGGTTTTCCTTCTTAAGGAGCCTTTGGCAATGTAAACATGTTGTTTCCCACCACGGAGCGAATAATTTGTCTTTGGTCATCAACAGTTCAGCCACGTTTAATGACAGTTCATGGTTTCTTCTTCTTAGAGCAGATAATCTGGATTTGTATATGTGTGCGTAGATATATATATATATATATCCCAGCCCCAAAGGAAGATGAAACAAACCACCTCTGCACTGTTGTCTTGCTGTCGTTTTGATATTTTCCTGAACTGCAGATACTTAACAGGTCACTTTTTCCCAACCATAAGTGCTCATAGTCTGTGGGATGATTAAGAGTGGCAATCACCCAAATTCTTGTTTTTTAATACTCAGTGTAAGTTCTTTTACTGTTGTTTTTTTTTTAAACCTGCCTTCACGTTATAGAATAATAAATAATAAAACTTTATTTACACCCCGCTCCATCTCCCCCAGGGGAACTCGGTGCGGCTTACATGAGGCCAAGCCCATAGTACATACATTATAAAACAAAAGATAACAATACCTAAAAATAAAATACATAAAATGCAAAAATCAGTATAATAAGCGAAACAACAACAGTATAAAACAAACAATTTCACTGAGGATAACATTTCAAAACACTGGGAGGTAGGACAATATAAAATTATCAGGATGAGGATCCGAGTAAGGGAGGATTTAATTGCATGAACCATAGATAAAGTGCTTCTAAGGACATTTTGTGCATAGTTTGGTCAGGGAATAGTCATTGGAATAGCCAGGTTTTCAGATTCCTCCTGAAGCGTGGGGACTTGCCTAATATCTCTGGGGAGTTTCAGAGCCGGGGGGCCACCACAGAGAAGGCCCTCTCTCTCATCTCTCAGGTGGGAGCGAGAGAAGAGCCTCTGGAAGATCAAAGAGCTCGTGTGGGCTCATAGATGGAAATTCGGTCTCGCAAGTAGGTGGGTCCCAAACCATTCAGGGCTTTGTAGGTCAGAACCTGCACCTTGAATTGGGCCCGGAAAATAAATGGCAGCCATTGGAACTCCTTAAAGGTTGACCGCTCTGTAATTTGCCCCAGTTAATAATCTGGCTGCCGCCCGTTAGACCAATTGGAGTTTCCGGGCTGCCTTCAAGGGCAGCCCCACGTAGAGCGCATTGCAGTAGTGCAATCTAGAGGTAACTAAGGTGTGGACCACCATGGCCAGATCCAACTTCATGAGGTACGGTCGCAGCTGGCAGTGTAGACTTCATATAACCCAGCTGAAAGCAGATAATGTGGATTATCTGTCCAATAGTCTGGATTTATATGGCAGTGTGTAATATTCCATGGATGGGTTGGATGGGTGCCTGCCTTCTTTCTACAATATGCAGTTGCTTTTCTTGGTTTGGTAAATACACAGGTCCGCATGGATTTTAAATAGCAGTAATACATTTGTTTGCTTGAATGAAATAAAGCCAGCGTTTCCTTGCCACTGCAGGAGCCCAACCCAACTTGCTTCCGAGTAGACACTTTTTAAGAGAGCACAGACAACTCTGTTTTGATTATTTTATTGGTATGGTTTGTCAAGTCACCCCCTCATTCCCCTGCAATTGGAAGACATGATCCTGGTCCCCTCTTTTGTGGGCTTTTCGAAGCAGAAATGGCTCAGCTGTCTTCGGAGAACAGCATCCGGACGAGATCTGGCTTAAAGCACTCCTCTTCCACCAGCTTCTCGGGCTGAAAGAGAAGAGATATATGTATGCATGTATATATAAAGAGTCCCATTAATACCCATATTATAATAATAATTATATTTATTATGTGGAAACAAGGATTGGGGATAAAGCTTCCCCATGATTATCATAACTCTTCCAGGAGTGGGTTTACCTTATTGGAAGCAAATTTTTCTCACTTCCTGTTGTCTCGGCCTCATTGTTCTCAAATGTGAGTTATTTGTAAGCTTGTATTATTCTATTCTTTTTATTTATCTCTCCTGCAGGAGACTTTAATAATATATAGCTATATATATTCTAACTATAGGTTAGATAAAGGTTGTCCCCTGACATTACGTCCAGTCGTGTCCGACTCTAGGGTGTGGTGCTCATCTCAATTTCTAAGCCAAAGAGCCGGTGTTGTCCATAGACACCTCCAAGTTCATGTGGCCAGCATGACTGCATGGAGCGCCGTTACCTTCCCGCCAGAGGGGTACCTATTGATCTACTCATATTTGCATGTTTTCGAACTGCTAGGTTGGCAGAAGCTGGGGCTGACAGCGGAAGCTTACGCCGCTCCCCGGACTCGAACCTGCGACCTTTTGGTCAACAAGCTTAGCAGCTCAGTGGTTTAAACCACTGCACCTCCGGGGACTCCATTCTAACTATACTAGTACCTAATAATTTATTACTATTATTATTATTATTATTAGATTGTTAACCACCTTGAGTCCCCTTGGAGAGAAAGCCAGGGTACAAATAAAGTAGATTAACATTATTATTATTATTATTATTATTATTATTATTATTATTATTATCATTATAGGATTGTTAACTGCCTTGAGTCCCCTTGGAGAGAAAGGCAGGGTACAAATAAAGTAGATTAATATTATTACATATTATTATTATTATTATTATAGGATTGTTAACTGCCTTGAGTCCCCTTGGAGAGAAAGGCAGGGTACAAATAAAGTAGATACATACATATTATTATTACATTATTCATTATTATATTTTATAATAATATATTAGATTACAAAATATTAATAGTAATGTACTAATTAGTACATTAGTACATGTACTAATATTAATTAGTACATGTACTAATTAAAATATTAATTAGTACATGTAAAGTACTAATGTAAAGTAGTACTTTACATTAAAATAATAATAATTATTATTCTTGCTGAACCCGCCATGAACTCTGGGCCAAAGGAGATGTTTGTAGTTGGATGTTTGTAACTTGGGGGCAGCCTGTAATGTCTTTTCCTATTTGAAAAAAACAACACTCACCGTCCCGTATTTGAGCAGCGTAGGCACTCCGGTGAGCTTCAGTTTCTTCTTGAAATCGTTGTCGGGGTTTTTCCAGCTGCAGAAAGAAAAGAAAGAGCCATCGTCAGCAATCACTGTGGATGTTTCTGATCACGCGCACTTGAGACTCCTGTATGGCTTCAAAGTCCAGTTGAAGCGGCAGGAGGCTATTGTGAGGGGAGGGGTGGCAGTCAAAGGTTAATTAAGTAAAATTGTTTTTATTATCATATTTACCATTCTATTTATTATTATTATTATTATTATTATTATTATTATTATATATTACATGATTTGACCATCATGAGTGCCGCTATTAATATTATATATTTATTATTGTATATTATCTATCTCATGACTTGACCACCATGAGTATCAGCATTATTAATATTATATATTTATTATTATTATCATATTTATTATTATACATTACATATTATATATCTCATGACTTGACCATCATGAGTGCCGGTATTATTATAATTATAGTATTTCTTATTATATAGTCGTTATTTTATTTTTATTATATTACTTATTTAATTATTATAATTATTATTACTATATTCCTTATATATCTAATGACTTGACCAGCATGGGTGCTGGTATTATTATAATTATAATATTTCTTAATATATAGTCACTATTTTATTTTTATTATATTTCTTATTATATATTCATTATTATTATTATTACTACTACTACTATATTCCTGACCAGCATGAGTGCCGGTATTATTATTATTGTTGCTATAATATATTCATTATTATTTTCATCATATGTATTATTATAGTTCATTAATATTATTATATTTCTTGTTATATTTTCATTATTTTATAATCATATTTCTTATAATCATTATTTTCTTATTACTATATTTCTTATTATATTTCCATTGTTTTATTATATATGCATTATTATATTTCTTAAAATATAGTTTATTTACATTTCTTATTCATTATTTTATTTTTACTATATTTTTATTTATTATTATTTTTATATATTCATTATATTATCTTTCTTATTCATTATTTTATTATCACTATATTTCTTACTATATTTCATTATTATTATATTTAATATATACATTATTATTGCTATATTTCTTATATTTTCATTATTTTATTATATTTCTTATAATATCTTCATTATTTTATTATGACTATATTTCTTAATATATTTCCATTATTATATACTCATTATTTCTTATATTTTTCCTTATTATATTATTATATTATATATTCATTTTATTATCTTTCTTATTCATTATTTTATTATCGCTATATTTCTTACTATATTTCATTATTATATTTACCGTAATATATATTATTATTATTGCCATAGTTCTTATATATTCATTATTTTATATTTCTTATAATATCTTCATTATTTTATTATGACTATATTCCTTAATATATTTCCATTATTATATACTCAATATTTCTTATATTTCTCTTTATTATATTTGTTTGTTGTTCATTCGTTCAGTCGTCTCCGACTCTTCGTGACCTCATGGACCAGCCCA